TGAGTGTGAGTGTGTGAGTGTGTGTGTGTGTGTTTGTGAGTGTGTGTGTGAGTGTGTGTGTGTGTGTGTGTGTGTGTGTGTGTGTGTGTGGAGGACGGTGTCTCACCCAGAGGATCTCCCAGCATCTCGGCCAGCAGCCTGTACTCGATGTTCTGATACGTGATTCCCACGACATGACAGATGACTGGAGACACAGAGAACAAACACACCACATTCACACCAGAACACACTAAATCACTCATGCATGCCAACATTAAGATATGAAATAAGTCACAGTAATCCTGGTTCACTGCACTTTTAGAGGAGATTCATAATAAAATGAATCACCTGTGATGAGTGCAGATGTCTCATAAAATGTAATAAATTTAGTTGATTTAGCCAATTTATTTTATTTTGTTTTTTATTTTATCTTATTTATTTATTTTCTATTTCCCATGTGTATTTGGTGTATTTGGAGTATTTGTATCTGTGTGTTAAGTGTTATATATGTGAAGCACCACGCAAGTCTGAACAAATTGGGCTTTCAGAGGTTTCAGAGAGCAGCAGAGGAAACATAATAATCTATATAATATCAGTAATACAACAATCACTTACATTTCCGCACTGAGTCCTCAAATCCTGTGATTCCATCAATGAGATCTCGATTCTCCTCCAGACTGGCCTGAGACACACACAACATTCACTAACTCTCCACAGGCAGAATGGTTTATATACTGTCCAAACTGTATTTTCTGTCTCCTTCCCCTCACACAAAACTACAGGCATATTTTGAATTGTAAAAAACACTGTTTAGTTTGTTTTTTTTAAACCTTTTGGTTTACGGGGAAACAGGAAGTGTAAACCTCATAAACCATGTTTACGTTGTACTACCTGCAGCAGATACAATTTTTGATATTTTTTTACTAGTGGGTGCAGGACACTATAGTTCATTTATGTAAGTGAGGATAGCAAAATACAGTAAACTGTGACATATTACACCCAAAAATTCTTCATACAGTAAAATATGGGATTAAAAAATATTCAGGCATGTTTTGAAGTGTTATTCTTTAATTGCTAATGTGATATTTTACACCACAGACTGAACAGAATGAAGCACTGCTTGGTAATTAGTTGAGCTAAATTGGTTTGATCTAATACCCAGAAGCTCTGGAAGTGGCATGTCTCCAGCAGGTTTCCCAGATACAGGATCTGTCTTATCGGACGCTCCTCCTGCTGCGACACTGCAGTCAAGGAAACATCTGGAATCTCCACAAAAATATTGGGCAACACAACTGCCATACAGCCATATCACCCTGCAGCCCAAGACTGGTTACCCACTGAAGCTAAGCAGGGCTGAGCTGGTCAGTACCTGGATGGGAGACCTCCTGGGAAAACTAGGTTGCTGCTGGAAGAGGTGTTAGTGAGGCCAGCAGGGGGCGCTCACCCTGTGGTCTGTGTGGGTCCTAACGCCCCGGTGTCATGACGGGGACACTATACTGTCAACAAGCACCGTCCTTCGGATGAGATGTTAAACCAAGGTCCTGACTCTCTGTGGTCATTAAAAATCCCATGGCACTTCTTGTAAAGAGTAGGGGATAACCCTGGTGTTGCCCCTCTGGCCTTTGTCTATCATGGCCTCATATTAATCCCCACATCACATGATTGTAAAGCGCTTTGGGTGTACAACAATACACAATAAAGTGCTATATAAATGCATCATTCATTCATTCATTCAACTGTTTCCAACATTGATAATAATCAGAAATGTTTGTTGAGCAGCAAATCAGCATATTAGAATGATTTCTGAAGATCATGTGACACTGAAGACTGGAGGAATGATGCTGAACATCTTAAAAACTCCGGCAGCGTGTCGAGACAAACTCCAGAAGCGCACATTAAGGATACGTGGGTCTGGTCGATCATACACTTGCAGAGCGTGAAGTCTGTGTGCGGCAGGTTGGTGAGCGCTTTGAGCAGGATCTGAGACGTGACGGTGGTCTGGAAGTACGCCGGGTTGAACTGGTACCTGATAGGGATGTGACGATATTATCATGATATCACGATAGCAAAACTGTCTCGGTATTATCGCGGTCACATGGCGATATGAAACGATAGGTCTTCCAGGAAAAAGTGTAGTTTATAAAACACATTTAAACTTCTTATTCTAACCTGAAAAGGCTTTAGAGTTGTGTTTTGGGTCATTATTTTGCACAGTATCTGTGAAACGAACTCAAACCGAAAGCACAGTATGCTCAATCTCTTCATCAAGTCTGTTTCAAAGTGAAGCACACACTTGGTTCAGACAATCAGCTCGTGATCCGGTGTTTTCTGCGTCTCAGAACGACTCGTTCACACTGAATGAATGCAGTCCACTCCTTTATTTCACGTGCTGTGAGTTTAGCGCGCGTTTGGGAACACAACAGACACCAGTTATGCTTTATTTCAGCGGCAGATGATTACAGCGCTTCACTAGATTTGACATGGTTCCATCCCTGGTACCGGAGGACACACACGCACTAACGTCGAGCCCTTGATAGTGTGCATCACTCACAGTTTGAGCACGCCCAGGTTGGCCTCCAGGTCGTAGGTGTTTTCTCTGGCCTGAGTGTCCACATACCGCTCCAGCGTGGACAGATTCTCCGGGTTATACCTGTAATCATCACATTACACTCATTAATCATCCATTAAACATGAACTACACTCGCCTCGTTTTAGAACTGAACTGATCTGGATAATGACACTGATGTCTTCTGAGGAAAAAAGTCAGAATTGTGATATATAACCTCAGAACTGCGAGAAAAACATACTATTCTGATTTTTAAAAAGTTACAATTGCGAGAAAAATGCGCCATTTTGATTTAAAAAGTCAGAGTTATGAGAAAACAACAAGCAATTCTGAGGGGAAAAAAAGTCAGAATTACGAGAAAAACGCATAATTTTGATTTTAAAAAGTCAGTTATGAGAAAACAACAAGCAATTCTGAGGAAAAAAAGTCAGAATTATGAGAAAAACGCATAATTTTAACAGAATTATTTCCGGTTTTTTCTGTGAACCTGCTTTCAATCAATCCTACTGTAGAAATACATGTGACTTCAATTATTCGAATTATTACACGCAGATAAAACGACATGACACACAAGCGCCTACTTTGAATAAATTAATTCTTTTTATGAAGATAATTAATGTGGACGGGCCCTAATGTGTCCTTTGATTCTGATGTTTTTCAGTTATTAATAATCATCTTCACCTGTCGATGCCCCGCAGAAGTTTGCCGACGTTCGCTCTCATCTGCTCGAATGTCGTCGCCATGATTCCGGGTGTTTGTTTGGTTTTTTTTATGTTAAGTGTTTATATTTGTGTTTATTTTCCAGACACTCGGATCCTCGCGAGCTGAACCGCGGCGCGTGGAAGTGGCAGAGGAGGACGTGACGTCATCGGGCGCGCAGTGACGTGATCCTGGAGCGCCGCCGCGCGTGTGGGCGGAGTCATTGCGTTCTCAAAGCGTTAGCGCAAAAACATCATTTATGCATCGTTCCGTTTTTCTGAAATGTTTTAGTTCGACGTTCGTCTGACATTTTTAAAATGTTACTTCAGAACGTTCAGAGAACATTTAAAAGTAATGCTCGCAAAGTTATAAAACTGAACGTACACTTAACATTCGCATTACCAGGAAAATCGTTTTTAATCATTTATTTCTGAGAACATTCAGAAATAACGTTTTTATAACTTAATGGGAACGTTAGCAAAACGTTCTTAAAACTTTTTTTGTTGTTGTCTGGAACACATTAAGCCTTATTCGTTGCCTGTAAATAATTTATAAATTCACTATGGTCATATTTCAATGCATAATTATTATAATAGATGTTTCCATTTAATTAGTTCAATAATTGGCAGCGATTATTTACACAAAGTGAAAATAGCAGTATTTTCTCATAACGATATGCTATTTACACTCGGTGGAAATAGCGATAGACACTTATTTAAAAACAGCAGTATTTTCTGCTATTTAAACTTCTTATTGCAAATAGTGGCAAATATCTGCACCTCAGTATTGTAATACATCATAAAACACTATGCAATAATAATGTAGTGAGTGTAAATTATCTTTTTTTTTTTTAATTATTAAATGGATGTTGCCTTATTGGGAAGATAAAGCCCTCACTATACCTTATTTACAACTTTTCCATTATTTCCTTCATTTTTATTAAAAATAAATGCCTTTCCGATGTGATATGAGATGTGAAAAGGGACGAATTCGGCAAAAGGCGGATTCGAACTCGGGTCGGTGCGTCAAAAAGCGTGCTTTACCCACTTTATGGTTTGAAAGCGGTCTTTTGTAAACTTCTCTACACGCTGGTGGGCGGAGTTAATGTAAATAGCCTCTGCTAACAAGGTGGATTATGTGCACTTAGTGTAATTTTTTTACTTTTATTTTTTTGGACATATTTAACAGAATATACATCTACAATGGCACTGATAAATGTAAATAAACAAACATTAAGCAAGGCATATATCAGACAAAACATAAAATTACATATATTCTTAGAGAGAAAGAAAAAAGGAACGGAGAAAATATTAATAAACAAAAAAAGAAAGGGTCTCTTCTTTCCTCTTCAAATAAATCAACTTCACTTAGTCTAAAAAGACACTCTGTAAATTATTACATTACCTTACTAAAATATTAAATTATATTTAATGTTTAACAATTTTTTTTTAAATTATTTGCATCTACATTTGGATTTTGGTTGAAATTTGGTTAGTTGGGACCATTCCATAACTGTACTAGTCAAATAATCAAATATAATGTGCAATTATGTCTAATAAACTAATATATGTAATCTAACTAATACTTTATTTGTATAGCATCTTTCATACAAGAAAGGAAGTGCTTTACAATTAAAAAAAGGCCAAAAATAAAACAGAAGTTCCTATAACAAGAGTTGAATGCAATTTATTTTAACATCACAATAAAAGACAACCCACAAAAGTGTGTGACATCCATTTATTACGCAATTAGGAGAAATTTCAAATTACAAAGATCAGTTTATTGAAACACCTGAATGTTCTGTAGTCAGACTCTGAATAAAGGAGAAACAAAAACAGCCACAAATCAAGCAGGATTCAGTAATAATGTTTCCATGTCTGCCTGAGGAGTCGTGAGACGCTGAAGGGATGAGTAGAAAACTGCTCTGTAATGAAGGAAATTCTCGTGGCGAAACTCAAGAACAGTATCAAGCCAATATATATTTATTCAGTTCAAATTAATGTCAGTCTGTCCAGATTCTCCTATCAAAAGACCCAAAATGAACGGGTCGTTTATGCAGATAAACATGTTATTCTCAGCGCTGAAGCCAATTAGAGTAATGTTGAACATCCCTTCACATGCCTGAGACTGAACCCAAACTCATCCTTTAGAAAATAAACATGATTTGTGATGTAAAAATGCCTTTATAAGAATCTCCACCTTCAAAAATATGCTCTAGATCTATGAAACAAGCTTATATGAATGCATAAAAAAAGAAACAGACATCAATAATTATTAAAAGTAATTCTTAATATTGCAATAATAAACATTTGTTGGAGAGATGCTCGTATACAAACCCCGTGCTGATCGACAGCCTCACACACACACACACACACGTGCGCTCGTGATGGACGGTGAAGGGAATTCTGGGATGGGTCAGAGCTGTTTTAGCACCCTGCATGAGAGACGCAAAGCCCTGAATGCAGACATCAGCCCTGACCCACTTATTCAACCTTCACTCGTGATCGATGGACAGACTGTGTGTGCGTGTGTGAGAGAGAGAGTGTGAGAGAGAGTGTGTGTGTGTGAGAGAGAGAGAGAGTGAGAGTGTGTGTGTGTGGCCGATCGGTCACGGGCTGGTACATGCAAACAGGAAGAACCCTAAAAGTCTGTAGTCAAAAAACAAAGAGACACCACCCACCCCACCAGGACTGAACTCTTAAACTACCAACAAACAGCAAGAGAGAGAGAGAGAGACACACAGAGAGAGAGAGAGAGAGTAGCTCAGGCACGTTCTCCGCGGATGCGGCGCGCCAGCTGGATGTCTTTGGGCATGATGGTAACACGCTTGGCGTGGATGGCACACAGGTTAGTGTCCTCAAACAGACCGACCAGATACGCCTCGCTGGCCTCCTGCAACACACACACACACACACACACACACACACACACACAGAGACGCACACACACGAGTCACATGACCTGAGAAGACTCTAGTAGCACTGAGATACTATTAGTGGTTCAATGGATCACAAATCTCACGGTTCAGATCATATTACGGTTTTTGAGCAACGGATTGGATTGTTTTTCGGATCAGCAAGAAAAAATTATATATATCAATGTAACTTTGCTTTTCATAAGCACTTCTTATTTTCCGTCATATATGCCCAATATTTTTGTGGAAACCATGATCTACTATCATTCAATAGTTCAGAAATTAACACTGTTATTCATCAAGGACGCATTAAATCGATCAAAAGTGACAGTAAAGACATTTATAATGTTACAGTAGATTTCTATTTCAAATAAACGCTGTTCTTTTGGACTTTCTGTTCATCTGTGAATCCTGAAAAATAAAATGTATCAGTTTCCAGAAAAATATTGTGCAGCACAACTGTTTTCAATATTGATAATAATCAGAAATGTTTCTTAACAGCTGTTTTAAATTGTAATAATGTTTCACTGTTTTTACTGTATTTAGTCGACTGTAATAACCTCGAGCAGAAAGGCAGTCGCAGGATCAAATACACAGTGGTTTTCTGGAGAAGTGTAATGCCGTGTCTGACCTGCAGCGCTCCGATGGCGGCGCTCTGGAAGCGCAGGTCGGTCTTGAAGTCCTGAGCGATCTCTCGCACCAGACGCTGGAAGGGAAGCTTGCGGATCAGCAGCTCGGTGGACTTCTGGTAGCGGCGGATCTCACGCAGAGCCACGGTCCCGGGCCTACAGACACACACAGAGCCGTCAGCGCTCGTCCCGCGGCTCCAGACCAAACACCACTCGCGGCTCAGTACCTGTAGCGATGGGGCTTCTTGACTCCTCCAGTAGAGGGCGCACTCTTACGAGCCGCTTTAGTCGCCAGCTGCTTACGAGGAGCTTTTCCTCCGGTGGATTTACGGGCGGTCTGCTTCGTACGGGCCATTCTGACACACGATCACCTCAAACACAACACACACAATATTACACACACACACAGAAAATACTGCACTGTTCACACATTTATATATATTACCTACTTAGTTTAAAATAACCAAAATGATTTAAGTAAATAAATAAATAAACAAAAACAACATATGATTAAGAAAATTATGTAAATAAAATGCATTTCATTAAAATAAGTAAATTGTATAAATAAATGGTGATTTAAATAAATGAATACATGATTAAAGCAAATCGATTAACATTTTAAACTATTTTAATATCACCATTTAAATAATTTACCTATTTTAATAATTTTTTTAATTAGTTACGGATTTAAATTATTTTAAACAATTTATTTTTGTTTCAATTAACTTATATATTATTCATTTTAATCAAATTTATTTGTATAGGTAATCAGTTTTATCACACTTTTTCCCTCTAAACTTTCCACAGACCAGTTTGAAAACCCCTGCTTCATAAAAAAAATCTAATAATATAATCATGTCATACTGAAATAATCAAAAAAAAGTATAGTTCGTGGTAGATGGATAATGTTTCAAAATCAGTTGACGATTACATTTAAGACGCTTTAGGATTGAGTTCGAGCTTGAAAACAACAGGAAGTTTAACACGTCAATCATGCCTCAAAAACCAGCCTCTTTAAAATAATATTCATGAGCCGACCAATCGGAGGACAGGAAACAAACCAGACGGTCGGCGTAAGCCCCGCCCCTCATCTGTGAACATCATGGCGTCTGTTTGACTCGGACAGAAAACTGAGCGAGAAAACAGACGAACTAACGATAAAACTTCGACAATTTCACTGCGAATCACTCCACTGTTCCCACCAGTTACACTCGGACAACAAAGAAAACACTCTAGGGATGCGATATCGGACGTTTAAAGCAGGAATGGAGGCGTTTATGGTGTTTTTCGGCGTTTGTGAAATATCCGTTTATTTTGGATGGATTTTGCAGCTCGCGCGGATGAAGCGCCTCAGGATTTCACCGATATAAACACAAACCCGTTCAAACCGACACGAATTTACACAAAACACGACATTTTCTGGCTGCCTAAAATAACAATTAAATAACACATTTATATTTCCTCTACCTCGACGAGCCTTACCTTAGTATAAGTTGTGTTTAAAGAGTGTTTAGAGTTGAGCTTCAGTGTTATTTACCGTCTCTCGCGCACAATGGCAGCGGAAGTGCGCCAATCAGCGGCTCCCACAATGCACCGCGCGGCAGCCTGCCACAGCGCGCTTCAACATGTTAGAAAAATGTGTTCAAATAATCACACAATACTGAATTAACAACACTTATCAGCCGACACTGCCTCCCTGACTGTGTGGAGATACCTTGGTACAGAGATGGTAATGTTAGGGTACTTTGATTACATTATTCCATTGTTTACAAGCTACTTTACAGCAGCGCTTTTCAATCTTTCAGATTCCAGACCCCTAAATATAACCCTGTTATACTGTGAAAAAAACTATATTATAAATACGTCTAACATATTATTTGGAAAATATGTAGTTTCTATTACAATACATGTTTTATTACACACACTATAGCACTGTATTGTTAGATATAGTAATTTATTCTTTATTATTTTATCTTAATAATTTTTATTTATTCATTTAATCAATGCTATTTTATTTAAATTTATTTATTTTTATTCAACTTTATTTTTATACATTTTTACCTATTTTATTATATAATTATTTTCATATTAATACTGTAAAAATAATTATAATTTAATCTTATTTAATTGTATTTTATTCACTTTTTTAAATTAAATCATTTTATCTACTTTTACACTTATTTAAATCACGTTTTATTTATTTTAACCATTTTTATTTATTTTAATCAAATTTGTATATTCATGCACATTTTATTATTTATGTCAATTGTGTGTTTAGTTTCAGTATTTGTTTTTATATTTTTAACACTTTCTAAACTTTTCCTCTGACCGCAGTATGATAACAACAACAGACTCGATAACAGTTCAACACCAATTTATTGTCCAATTCTCTATTCGTGCAGTACAAAGATGTGCTTTTTAGACTTACACACATACAAAAACAAAGCAAACGTAATCACCTCGTGATAAAAACCATGAAAGGGTGTAGAAAAAACCTGAGCGAGTGTCTACCTAAACAACTCATGAAGAATCTGTCAAATGGTATAAAATACGGTCTGTTGTCCGTTGCTACATATGCTCATCAAAAACACAAGATTCAACAGAACGACACCCAGCCAATCACTGGTGTCATCACTGAAATCATACGCCCACCTGCCTGCATCTCAGGAAAATAAAGGACCTCAAAATAAAGGAAACCATTATAAAGCAATACACTTACAAAACATATTTCAAGTAAAGAGAGTGTTTCGTGATGATTCTGACTCTTCCAGTGAGGAGTTTAGCACCTGAAATCAGTCCTCGACAGTCTTCCGTCCTCTCAGATTTATGTTTAGGCACAGAAGCGTTGATTAGTGCCTGGAGTCCTTAATTATTCACCTGAGGGCTTGAACGTTTGTGCTTGAAATCACATGACGACACGTCACAAGAGCTCGTCTGAGAGTACAAAACCAACAGCAGCACAAGCACAGAGAGATGGAACACAAACACACACACAGAGAAGAAGAAGTGAGGCTGGAGACGGAGAGAGAGAGAGAGCGAGACACACACAGAGAGAGAGAGGAGCTCAGGCACGTTCTCCACGGATGCGGCGCGCCAGCTGGATGTCTTTGGGCATGATGGTAACACGCTTGGCATGGATGGCACACAGGTTAGTGTCCTCAAACAGACCCACCAGATACGCCTCGCTGGCCTCCTGCAACACACACACACACAGACAGACACGCACACACACACACAGACAGACAGACAGACAGACACACACACCACACACACAGACACACACACACAGACAGACAGACAGACAGACACACGCGCACACACACACACAGACAGACACACGCACACACACAGACAGACAGACACACACGCACGCACACACAGACAGACAGACACACACGCACGCACACACAGACAGACAGACACACACGCACGCACACACAGACAGACAGACACACACGCACGCACACACAGACAGACAGACACACACGCACGCACACACAGACAGACAGACACACACGCACGCACACACAGACAGACAGACACACACGCACGCACACACAGACAGACAGACACACACGCACGCACACACAGACAGACAGACACACACGCACGCACACACAGACAGACAGACACACACGCACGCACACACAGACAGACAGACACACACGCACGCACACACAGACAGACAGACACACACGCACGCACACACAGACAGACAGACACACACGCACGCACACACAGACAGACAGACACACACGCACGCACACACAGACAGACAGACACACACGCACGCACACACAGACAGACAGACACACACGCACGCACACACAGACAGACAGACACACACGCACGCACACACAGACAGACAGACACACACGCACGCACACACAGACAGACAGACACACACGCACGCACACACAGACAGACAGACACACACGCACGCACACACAGACAGACAGACACACACGCACGCACACACAGACAGACAGACACACACGCACGCACACACAGACAGACAGACACACACGCACGCACACACAGACAGACAGACACACACGCACGCACACACAGACAGACAGACACACACGCACGCACACACAGACAGACAGACACACACGCACGCACACACAGACAGACAGACACACACGCACGCACACACAGACAGACAGACACACACGCACGCACACACAGACAGACAGACACACACGCACGCACACACAGACAGACAGACACACACGCACGCACACACAGACAGACAGACACACACGCACGCACACACAGACAGACAGACACACACGCACGCACACACAGACAGACAGACACACACGCACGCACACACAGACAGACAGACACACACGCACGCACACACAGACAGACAGACACACACGCACGCACACACAGACAGACAGACACACACGCACGCACACACAGACAGACAGACACACACGCACGCACACACAGACAGACAGACACACACGCACGCACACACAGACAGACACACACACACACGCACACCACACGCGCACACACACACAGACACACACGCACACAGTCACAGACAGACACACACACAGACAGACACGTTATGTTCACAACAGATTATGTTGTGTGTTTTTGTAATTTTTTATTAGTTTCTGTTTTTTAATATACATTTTTAATAAAAAGAAGTCTCTTCTGCTCACAAAGGCTGCATTTATTTCATCAAAAGTACAGTAAAAACAGTGAAATATTATTATAATCTAAAACAGCTGTTTTCTATGTGAGTATGTGTTAAACTGTAATGTATTTCTGTGATGCGCAGCTGTATTTTCAGCATCATTACTCCAGTCTTCAGTGTCACATGATCTTCAGAAATCAGTATAATATGCTGATTTGCTGCTCAAGAAACATTTCTCATTATTATCAATGTTGTAAACATTAATATTTTTGTGGAAACTGTGATACATTATTATTCATTAGTTCAGAAATTAAAGGAATACTTCACTTCCAGAATGAAAATCTCCTGATAATTTACTCACCCCCATGTCATTCAGGATGTTCGTGTCTTTCTTTGTCAGTCGCAAAGAAATGAAGTTTTCCGAGGAAAAGCTTCCAGGATTTTTCTCCATACAGTGGACTTCAATGGTGCTCAACGGATTGAAGGTTAAAAACACAGTTTCAATGCAGCTTCAAAGAGCTCTACAGGATCCCAGCCGAGGAATAAGAGTCTTATCTAGCAAAACAATCAGTTATTTTCCAAAAAAAATTAAATAAAACTTTATATACTTTTTAGCCTGTCTTGTCTAGCTTTGCAATGCGCTCCGGTTCGAAACAGTTAGGGTAGGTCTAAAACTCCCATCTCATTTTCTCCTCAACTTCAAAATCGTCCTACATCGCTGCAGAAGCACCGACCCAGTGTTTACAAAGTGAACATGCAAAGATCAAACGCCCTTTACAAAAACCGGTAAAACAGCGATGTAGGACGATTTTGAAGTTGGAGGAGAAAATGATTTCTGAAGATCATGTGGCACTGAAGACTGGAGTAATGATGCTGAAAATACAGCTGCGCATCACAGAAATACATTACAGTTTAACACATACTCGCATAGAAAACAGCTGTTTTAAATTGTAATAATGTTTCACTGTTTTTACTGTATTTAGTCGACTGTAATAACCTCGAGCAGAAAGGCAGTCGCAGGATCAAATACACAGTGGTTTTCTGGAGAAGTGTAATGCCGTGTCTGACCTGCAGCGCTCCGATGGCGGCGCTCTGGAAGCGCAGGTCGGTCTTGAAGTCCTGAGCGATCTCTCGCACCAGACGCTGGAAGGGAAGCTTGCGGATCAGCAGCTCGGTGGACTTCTGGTAGCGGCGGATCTCACGCAGAGCCACGGTCCCGGGCCTACAGACACACACAGAGCCGTCAGCGCTCGTCCCGCGGCTCCAGACCAAACACCACTCGCGGCTCAGTACCTGTAGCGATGGGGCTTCTTGACTCCTCCAGTAGAGGGCGCACTCTTACGAGCCGCTTTAGTCGCCAGCTGCTTACGAGGAGCTTTTCCTCCGGTGGATTTACGGGCGGTCTGCTTCGTACGGGCCATTCTGACACACGATCACCTCAAACACAACATATTACACACTTATTTGTGACCCTGGAGCACAAAACCAGTCATAAGGGTCAATCTTTCCAAATTGAGATTTATGCATCATTGAAAGCATATTTATTTGAACATCTAATAATATAATGTCGTACTGACGCAATCATAAAAGTGCAAACATGTTTAAACAGTAAATATGTGATATTTACATCATAAACATACAATTCAGGGGAGATTATACTATTTGACTAGAATCAGATGAGCCTGATTCAGTACTGCACTTTTTAAATAAGGACAGGAAAACTATTTCTAAACTGTAGATAAAATGTATACAACAAAAAACTCAAAAGGTTCAAAGAGTAAAAATGCAATATAATGATGAATAATATTAGTGGTGTGCTAATAGCAAATAACGATAAAATAAACAATCTTTACATGAATTGGACAAAAATGTACAGGTATGGTGTAAAATGATTGCATTTGTAAAAGAGTGTCAATGTAAGTTTTGTATTTGGAAATATAATTGCTGTTCTCATTCAGAAGATGCAGAGCTTCGCTAAAATAACGAATAGATTAACAATAAGACGTTTTGTTTTTGATTCCATTCACGCTTCACGTTATCACACCTGTCAATCAACACACTCCCCGCCTATAAACGCTATTTATAGACAGTGGGGCGTGGCTTCAGTCACGCCGCCGTGTATTGTAGTATAACATACCCTATAGTTGTAGATAATTTAGTACAGTATTGGGTAATTTGTTTATATTACTATAGTTGTTATATTACCACAGCAACTATAGAATTACTACAACAAATGAATATGGTTCAAAAACACTATAGTATAAATTAGCCAGAAACTCCAGAGACAGCTGATTACATGTGATCTGGATTATGTCATCAAAATTGGTAACACTTTATTTTAAGGTGTCCTTGTTACACGTTACATGTACTTACTATTATAATAACAATTAATTATGCATAATTACATGCAAGTAACCCTAAGCCAAACCCTAACTATATTATGACTAACTGTTTAAAAGTTATAAGCAAAAACATGCATTTTTGGTATCTCACGACCCATAGGTGGCGCTGTTCCCAACTTTGGCATGGACCCTCAGATCATGGTGTTGATGAAGTGTACCAAGTTTTGTGTCGATTGATCAAAGTTTGGCTGAGATACGGCCTCTGAACCAATTTTGCGTCAACCTCGTTAAGCTGCACAAATATTCCTCAGTTGATTAATCAGAGTGAATAAAGATAACTTCTGAAAGTTTTCTGAAATCTTTAAATACACAAATAAGGCATTGTCTAATTAAATATGCACTAATCTGCATACATTTCCAGAACAGAATGGGTTAATCCAGGTTCAAAATTCTTGTTTGATTTTGTTGTCATATTAGAATTAAAGCTTTTTACTGACGGGATTTCGGATTTCTCTTTTTATCACTCCATAAATCACAAAATACTGTCAACAGACAGAAAAAAAAATACATTTTCACGTTTTTAGGAATTAAATGTTGTATAATTCAGTGTGAATTATATATGAACAAACCCTTCAGTAAAAAAATTCAGAATATAGATGGTTTTGATTGCTTCTATTGTCCTCATTTGTAAGTCTCTTTGGATAAAAGTGTCTGCTAAATGGCTAAATGTAAATCCACAGCACTCCAGTCCATCAGTTAACATCTGGAGAAGACAAAAACTGAAACTAATCCAGCATTAAGACGTTTTAACTAAAATACATTGAGTCTATAATCCATAATAACGCTTCCTCCAGTGAAAAAGTGTTCTGGTGTGAATCAGGAGAGAAATCTGCACAGATCAAGCACCGTTGAGATGACAAAAGCTGAAACAAATCCAGCATTAAGACGCTTTTAACTCAAAAATGAGTCTATAATAACGCTTCCTCCAGTGAAAAAGTGCATCTGCTGTTGTCTCTCACATCAAAATCCAGCCACATATTTGTTTAGAGCTGTTTAAACGGTGTTTGATCTGTGCAGATTTCTCTCCTGATTCAGACCAGAACACTTTTTTCATGGGAGGAGGCTTTATTATGGATATGGCTCATATTTTAGCAGGAAGCAATGGTTTGAAGTTTAAAAACGTCTTAATGCTAGATTTGTTTCTTACAAACATGCAATTTTTGTCTTCTCCAGATGTTAACTGATGGACTGGAGTGCTGTGGATTATTGTGATGTTTTTATCAGCTGTTTGGACTCTCATTCTGACGGCACCCATTCACTGCAGAGCATCCATTGCTGAGACACTGATGCAATGCTACATTTCTACAAACCTGATGAAGAAACAAACTCATCCTGATCTCTGATGATCTGAGAGTGAGCACATTCTCATTTTTGGCTGAACTATTCCTTTAAATTTGTTCACTGGTATAAGTGATTACAAATAAAAATGCGATGCATGAGTATTTGATGTTTTAATAATAGATTCCCATATACAAACTTGATATTGTGATATTGTTGGCCACATCACCAGACTCAGGCATATAACCGTGTGATAAATGAAAACACATGCAGTGGAAGATAATCGATTTGAAATAAGACAAAACGTCCTTCAGAACTGAATGCATTTGCAAAAAAAAAAAAAAGTAACAAAAAAATGGATGGAAGCAGTAGTTTAAAAAGTGCACAATAAAAATACACAAAACGTTCCAACATCCACTAATTGGTCCATTTGCATTTCCCCAGTTAACAGCAAAGACAATTACGATGCTACAGCCGTACAAAACATAAATCCCAAAATATCGGAGATTAAAAAAAAGAAACAATAAACACTTAAAGTTACAAAAAGACATAAAAAATGAGAACCACGTGTTAAGCATACATACCGTCAGGGCTAAAACACTGTTTTTATCAAGTAGTGTTCTGTAATTCGGTGGGAATGATCGTATACGAGTTCATTAGCTTGGCCTTTATCTAAAATACAAGCAAAGTTCTGCCTCTAGAAGAAGAAACGTCCATGTCAGGATCACTAAAGAAGCCCAATTTACCGCATTTAAACCAGTGCAATGACCCCAAAGACTAATTTATGTAGTGTTATTCCTTGCAGACTTCTAGAAAGACTCAATATCCTCAAAAACAAACTTCTCTAACAATTTTAATGCTTTCCCAGTTGGTTTGAGTATTTAGATGCTTTAAATAGGAGCTTGCGAGAAAATAATCCATCCTTACGGTGTTCGTTTACTGTCAGGATCACAAAAGAAACATCTGCAAATCTTGCTTGAGAAACTGGTTTTGGTGGCAATTTGAAATGTATGACTGACAGTATGTATATGTGATATCCAATGATTCTGTTTTCCTCTCTACAGGAGCATTTGTTAATGCAGGTTTGCACTGATCTGAATCAAAACTGATTGACAGACGTCACTAGAAATGATACGACATTGTCCTTTTGAGAAGTCTGCATGACAAAACCCTAAAAACACACTTCACATTGGCTCTCGGTGATCCCGACCCTTGAAAATGGTCCTTCCAGCGAGCTAAAATCAACCTGTAAATGTGCAAAATTTTGCAAGAGGCATAGCATGTGTAAGGAATAGCGCCTACTCCGTGTTACAATAGTTAAATGTGTTGCTTAAATGTGTGTTCCTTCCGTTACATCTGAAGCTTATTTCCATCACAGAATAAAACATTTAAAAAAAGGTTATTGCAACTATTTTTCTCAGAATTGACTTTTCTGTAATCCTGAGGTTACATGTTGAAAGTTTTTACTTTTTTCAGAATTCTGATTTTAGATCTCGCAACTTTAATTTTTTGGGGGAATTCTGAGTTTATGTCTTGCAATTGTAACTTTTTTACGTTATTCTGAGTTTATATCTCGCAATTTTACCTTTTTTCGGAATTCTGAGTTTATGTGTCACAATTTTGACTTTTTTTTTGCAATTCTGAGTTCATGCAATTTTAACTTTTTTTTCTCGCAATTCTGAGTTTATATCTCAGAATTGTAACTTTTTTCAGAATTCTGAGTTTATATCTCGCAATTGTAACTTTTTTCAGAATTCTGATTTTATATCTCGCAACTTTGACTTTTTTTTCGCAATTCTGAGTTCATATCTTACAATTCTGACTTTATCACGATTTACAATTCAGTTTTTTGTTTCCTCCACAGAATATTTGTTTATGTCACAATTTTTTTTTTTTGAGTTTATATATTGCATTTTTCTCATAATTGTGAGAAAATAGTCTAAATTGTGAGATAAAAAGCGGCAATAGCCATTTTTATTTTTTATTCCGTGGCAGAAATGGGCTTCCACAGTCACAGTCTTGCGTTCAACAAGGCAAATTTTAAGAGATCCACTTTAAACACTCTAAACAGTCACTTGAGAATGGCACAAACGTCCGTTTTCATTCAGCGGTGACGTTGTTTGCTTAGCAAAAACTTAGTAAATATATAAAATCTCACTTTCACGGTTCATATACCTTGCCTACCATTTGACACCATTTCTAGACGACACTAACCTCACCTCTCTAGTAATCTATGAAGTGGAAAACTCGAGTCTAGCAGTCGAACAAATGCACGTAACTCTCAGTTCAGGCCCGATGCCAAAGCAAAGGATGCACTTTCTCAGCCAGATCGCCACTTATGAAGCACCAGCACACTAGAACAAGAACTCGTCAATCCACATTCAATGCATGTGTCACTATGTACAATATAGGATCTTCATATATTAATTACTTGAGTTCATTATTTCAATACACGTCCTCTGCCGTTATAGAGTAGTCTGAATATGTACAATAGAAGTCTCGATGATCAAATAAATAAATAGGAAATAAAAAGGCCGTGGCTTTTGCAGTGAACGCGGCTAGAGAAGAGGCCAGCAGAAGAGTCTCGCAGTCTGTCTGCATGAGAGAGCCGTGGTGCGTCGCAGCGGTGCAGCATGGTCCCGGTGTGTGTTTACGTTCATGTGAACTCAAGTGCGTGGTTTGGTAAGGATTCAGTGGACGGGTGAATGGTGACGCTGTGATGGACCGGCTCCGGATGCAGACACGGGAATCGGCTCTGGGAATGAGGCTTCGGCTATACCACCGTCCCGCTCGGAGAGTTTCCGTTCTGTGCTGACAGCGGCTGAGACGGGTGCTAGTGGAAACACAGACAAGAAACAGCACAAGCTAAAATGTGAGCAGTGATGAAGTGACTTTCGGCAGCATCCAGCATATTTGCTATCTGAAAATGACTGGCCAAACAAATAAATAATAATAATAATAAATAAATAAATAAATATGTATATAAATTAAAGCAATAAGTCCTAACAACGCTCCTTAGCTGTTATAAATTCACTGTAAACCACAGCTTCACGGGGCTTACTGCTTTTATAAAACGGTTATTCCATATACGTAGTAAGGTTTCACAAAATAAAACAGAGCAAATAAAGTGTAATGATATTAATAAAAACAGTATTCTTCCACCAAACAATGTAGCTCCTCAGAAACAGTTGTGGTTGCTACAAAGTGGTTGCCGAGCAACACACAAAGTAAATAAATGTGTATGTTACTTTGTAGAGTCATTTACAACAGCTTCGAACGCGGCTCAACCAATCAGAATCAAGGACCGGAACTATCTGTTTTATAATAATAAATAAACACACATATATACATATACATATATACATATACAGGTGCATCTCAAAAAATTAGAATATCGTGAAAAAGTTCATTTTTTTTGGTAACTAATTTCAAAAAGTGAAATTTTCATATATTCTACATTCATTACATGTAAAGTAAAACATTTCAAATGTTTTTTTATTTTATTTTTAATTTTGATGATTAGAGCTTACAGCTCATGAAAGTCAAAAATCCAGTATCTCAAAATATTAGAATATTTATATTTGAGTTTCATTAAATGGCCATCCCTACAGTATAAGTTCCGGGTATCTCTTGTTCTTTGAAACCACAATAATGGGGAAGACTGCTGACTTGGCAATGCTCCAGAAGACGATCACTGACACCCTCCACAAAGAGGATAAGTCACAGAAGCTCATTACTGAAAGAGCGGCTGTTCACAGAGTGCTGTATCAAAGCATATTAAACGCAAAGTTGACTGGAAGAAAGAAAGTGGGTGGGAAAAGGTGCACAAGCAACAGGGATGACCACAAGCTTGAGAATACTGTCAAGCAAAGCCGATTCAAACACTTGGGAGAGCTTCACGAGGAGTGGACTGAAGCTGGAGTCAGTGCATCGAGAGTCACCACGCTCAGACGCTCAGCTTTTTCACGATATTCTAATTTTTTAAGATGCACCTGTATAATCAACAGATTTAAAGATTTAATTCATATTTCTCCATTGTTTTTAATTTGATTATTTCATTGACTGTTAAAAATGAAAAAGTATTCAGTTAAACCTGTTCAGTTCTGTATCTTTGTCCGATTTTTTTAAACACTGCTTAAAATCTAAGTGTGTAATGTTGCAATTCAAAAAATATATTTGTATTTCAAATATAAGTTGTAAATGAAGATTTTTACCAGAAAATACTACTTCAGTCTTTCTACATCAAAATTTTACGTTTAATTCAACGCGTTACAATGCGTATATATGCATGTTTTGCAATAAATGTAAAATATATTGTTTCTATAAACATGATCAACATCTTTAAACCAGTACTTATATATTTCTCCATTGTTTTTAATTATTTCAGTGGCTGTTAAAAATAATAACTACTAAAAAACATTTTTCAAGAAAATACTATTTCAGTCTTTTTTACTTTAAAATTTCACATTTAATGCAATGTGTTACTTGCCGTTTCTTCGTAATTATTTGGCAAATTTACTAGCCATTTCTGAGTGAAAACTGTTTTAAAGTAAATCGCACACCAATTGATTTTTTATAATTCTTTAAACAATTTTAAGTGTAGCTTGTTGGTTTAATCCACCATGGCTTATAACTCTTACCAAAACTTTTTAAAAATCCAAATGGGAAAAATTGAATGGAAAAATACTTCTGTAATCAAGACCACTGAAAAGTTGTACAGGTTTATTTTGACATGCATTTAGCGCATTGCAATGAACCTTACGCGCAAATCCGAATGCTTTGCGTTTAAATCTCGACTCACCGCTTTCCCGGGTCTGGCCCAAGTGCAGATGAGTCCTTCCTGACACGCCGTGATGATGCAGTCGTTCATGAAGACGAGCACGGTGAGCCGCTCGTGGGCGATTTTCTTGCACACCAGCGGCTCCAGCAGCGGCACCTCGTTCATGCGCGGACACAGCGCGGTT